ACTGAGTCATGATTTAACAAATACTTTGCAATGCATATTCAATGTTGTGTAATGTAAAAGGGTTAATAATTCACTGGGTTTTAATTTTGCATATTTCGCTGACTGAAAAATGCGGTAATTAAAACCCAGTAGAATCTTTATGTAGAATCTTTATTTGTTCTTAAAGGCCACTGGCCCATTTCACAAAATACATAGAAAAATAAATACATAAATATTTGTTCCTGAGGTCAAAAGTCAGCTCATGTTAATACATTCTTGTCTCAGAATTTGTGCTTTATGTACAAAAATTGCTTGTTTTGTGATTATTTGGTAAGATTTATTTGATAAAATTTTTCTAATGTTGGATAAAGTATATGACCATGAGAGTAAAAAAAATTTTCTAATGTTTTCATACATAGGGCATTTTAAAATGAAGTGGAAATCATCCTCTACCTCCAGTGAATATGTAAAACAAACCATCTAAGTGATGAAACCATGAATTTAAAACCCACTGAAATATGCCTGAAATGCTAAATCAGTGAAATTTAAACCTAGTGAAAATTAGTCATTTTACAGTAGTTAATGTTCAAGACCATAAGCAAATAGAAGTCTGTTGTTATAAAGTGGTAATACATAAAATATATAAAATAGTCAGTTTTTTAAACTATAGACATAATTGTCTACTCATTCTGACTTCACTTAAAATGTGACACTATTGTTGTACTGTGTCATGTGTGATGTAGGTGCAGTCCTAGACGTTGATGAATATGAATAAAAGTCCAACGGTATTTGCTGTATCAATAGCGTATACACTTAAATAAATTATAGAGGTGTTTTCTGGGATCAAAATAAGAAATATTTGATGATTCAGTATACAACAAATCAGATTTTTTCTCTTCCAATAAAGCAAATAAAGTACATTGTTTGTTTACATGAGATGACATAGTTGTTATCATATTGATGGGGTTTACTGAAAGGTCAACTGCAGTAAGCTACAATTTGTAAACTTGATTTGCATTTGTCACCCACAATCATTTCCTGCAAAAGTTAGGCCCTCAAGTTTCTGGTAAATTTGTATTTCAAAAGAGTTTTCTTTTATTTAAAAAAATTTTTCTTTTTGATTTTTTATAAAAATTTAATTATCTTTATTCATTCTTTCTAATATTCTGATGAAAAACTTGTATAGAAAGCTGAGATGTGCATGTGGAACAAAATTGAAAAAAATACTGTAAATGCATTAATTATTCACTGGGTTTTAATTTTTCTATTTTTGCTGATAAGTAAAATCTGCTAAATTAAATCTATGTAAACATAAAAAATAACAATTACAAAAAACTCATTGTTTCCTTGACAAATTCGTAAAATTAAAACAGTGAGTATTCTCAAAACATCAAAATAGTGAAATTATATGTCAGTAAAAATAATAAGTATTCATACACGTAAACACAACTTTGACATAAGTTTGTGAGCATGTATTGATAACACAATCGTTATGTTTACATTTATTGTTGTTTTTTTATTATTTATCATTTTTTCCCACTAGGAATGTTGTGCAGTTAATGCTCAAAGCACAACATGATTGCAAAGAGTGGATCTTCTTTATGGAACAAAGTCCCGTGCAAGTCTATGACGATCGAGTTTAACTACAGTAAGGCAGCCAATGTTTGGAGCACAACAAAGTCAGAAGGATTAGTTTAGACTAAGTTTTATGGAACAGTTCACATTAAATGACGATCTTG